AGCCACCATGTGGTTATTGGGAATTGAACTCAGGACCTCTGGAAGAGCAGTCGGTGCTCTTAACCTCTGAGCCATCTCTCCAGCCCCTTGGTGAACTCTTGCTGAGAGCTCAGGTCTTGACAAGTGTGTGGCTGCTGGAACAGTTCCCCTAACAGTGGTAGTTTCTGTATTTGATGCTCCACTTACCAATATGGATGAAATTTGCATCAGCTGAGGGTGGACAGCAGGCTTGAAGCTGTGGGTAATGATAGAGGATGGACTGATAATTTTCTTGGGGTTTGTCTTGCCTTTGCTGCACATTGGCCAGGACATGGTCTAAGATTCCCGAGACGTGGAGTATGAGGTGTGGCGTGAAATTAGCTGCTACGTCTAATAGATTAGGAAGTGGGAAAGGCGTATAACATTGTACGGTTTTTTTAAAGCCTTTGGAAGCAGAATTTCATGGTCATTGGCTGCTCTATCACCAACCCTCACGCTAAGCACAATACAGATTTCTGCTGCAGAGCCAATTAGGCTGTACCTCTGCAAAGAAGCTTAGTTCAGGGCACTGGAGAAATACATTTTTTGGTTCAAGAGCTTTTTCTGATGAATTGGAGAAGAGCTAGGTATTTGTGTGTAAACATTTGGTTGACTGCTATTTGGAGGCAGCATGTTGTATAGAGAATTAGGAAAGTCTGGATTCCATTTGGAACTTCAGCATTAGCTGTGAGATGGAGGGCAGATTTGTCATTTTCATCTGTGAAATGGGACAGCTATAAATGGTCTTGTTCATGTCCTTATAGGAATAGAAGGAAGACGAGGAAACTGGGTGGAATATTTTGTGCTCTTTGGAAGAGAAGTGATAAGATTGAATCGGTACATTTTTCCCGTGCTAGGCTTTGGTGCTGCTTGCTAGCTTTTCCGGCTTGTTATGTGCCAGTCGTGCTGGCAGCCTCGAGGCTGTGAGAGCCTTGGTAAGTCTGGCCCGGGCGGCTGTGATTTCTGTGGGTCTGCGTCTCCTGAGCAAGCCCTCCCTTGTTGGGAAGAACAGTAGCTCGGAGTCCCCCGCGTTCTCTTGTTCTAAACGGTAGAACCTGAAGCACTGGGAAATCTCAGCCCTCTGCCAGTTAGGAGGCTTCCACATCACTGTTGGTCGAAGTTAATTATGGGTCTCTGCTGGCTTTGCTATGTAATTTGGGGCATTTATGGTAACCTCTAGGCATAATTCTCTTTACTCTTCTCAACATCTGCCTTTGCCATCTACACTTTTCCCACAGCTATTGCTTTTGATGAGAAAGTATTTCCTAACCATCATTTTTATAAGGCTTAGCAGTCTGCATGTTCTATTGGTGAACACCTCGACTTCTTTCATGTGCTTTGGATTTGCTTAAGTGGACCTGCCCAGATGTCCGAGTCTTAAGAGTCAAGTAGTATGGGGGGGGGGGGGACCTAGAGAGAGGGTGGCTTAGGAGTTGAGAGCACTTGCTAATCTTGCACAAGACTGGAGTTTGGTGCCCATGCGCCCAGGTTGGGTAGCTCCAGAGCACCTGTAACTCCAGCTGCAGAGGACCCAGTGTCTTCTTTTGATCTCAGCAGGCACATGTACACATGCCTGCATGTACACGTGCACACACACACATGTAAAAACTATAAATCTAAAAGTAAAAGAGGAGTCTGGGGGTCAACAAGGTGCTCAGCAGGTACAGGTGTTTGCTGCCAAGCCTGATGACTTGAGTTTTGAGCCATCTCTGGGACCCATGTGGTGGAAGGAGAGAACTGACTCTTCCAGGTTCTCTCTGACTTCCACATGCCTGCTGTGGCACATATGCACCCACACCTAACCTCTTGAAAAGAAATAAATGTAGCCAGGCGGTGGTGGCACTTGCCTAAATCCCATCACCCAGGAGGTAGAGGTGAGCAGATATCTGAGTTTGAGGCCAGCCTGGTCTGTATAACAAGTCACAGGCCAGCCAGAGCAACATAGGAAGACCCTGTCCCAAAAATTTCTTTTCAAGTAAATAAAATAATAATAATCAAAAAAATAGTATGAGTGAGCTTTGAAAATTCTTTAAAATGAAGTAAGATTGAGCCTGCCAACTAATCAGGTTTCTGTACTGAGGAGCTGGACTAGGCCTCGTACCACACATATGTCAGGATTCAGAGAGCTGGGCTTCATGCCTGTGGGCCTTGGTATAATATAGAACTTTGCTATTTCAGGAAAACCAGTGGAGTCCCCTTGTCTGTTTCACATATGTTGAGCTGATTGTCTTCCTTCAGATTTGGTGAAAATAACATCTATCTGCCCTGTTTGAAACGTTACACACTAACACACTCAGTTGGGAATAGGTACCTTGTCCTTAGGATTGTTGACTGAGTTTGACAGTTGAGGCAGTCTTTACAGTTGTGTAGTGGAGAAATGGAAAGCAGTTCTGTAGTGATTTTTGATTTGTTTGGGAAAAAAGGTGCAATTCTGGATGGAGAGGCTTCTTTGGCTGTCATGAGTAGACTTGGCCAACATCAGAAACTTACTGTTTCTTTGGGTCTTGAGATCCAGGGGAAGGGGTGTATTTTGCTGCTGTTTTGTTTCTTTATTCTTACTTTTGGTTTTATTAAACAAGAATTTTTTAAAATGTGTATGTCAGTATGTATATGTTTGTGCACATATATGTAGGTGCCCGATAAGGTCAGAAGAGGACTTTGAATCCCATACATCTGGTGTTCCAGGCAGTTGTGAGCTGCCTGGTTCACAGGGTGCTGGGAACCAAACCTTTTCCAGGTCCTCTGGAAGAGCACAAGTAACAGCTGATTCACCCCTCAGCCCCTTTTTGAGATACTCTCACAATGCAGTCTGGACTGGTCTTGAACTTACCATGTAGCCCAGGCTGGCTTCCAATTTGAGCTGATCTTCCTGCCTCAGCTTCCTGAGCTCTGGGATTATAGATATATACCATCATGCCTGGTCTCATATAGCCCAGGATGGCTTCAAACTTACTATGTATGTGTTCAAGTCTGGTTTTGATCTGATCCTCCTGCTTCCATCTCCTAGGTGCTGGAATCATAGTCATGTGTTACCAAAACAGCCAGGTTCAAAGGGGCCTTTTTGAGTCATAACATGACATGCCGAGAGCAAGGTGATAGTGTGGTATGGTGAGCTATGTTTGGGTTTTTGTTTCACACTCTGTTGGCCTTTTAAACTATCTTTTTACAAACTGCTTATGGTTGTCATCTCTCTCAGAATAAATTCTCTGGCTTTAAAATTTTTGTCTGTCCACTTGAGTCTTGTGCCTTTGACATTCTCCCTGCCAACATCATTCCTGAGGTTTTAGGCATTAGACTACACCCCTTGGCTTATCCCTAGAAGTTCCCTCCATTGGTTTTTGAGTTGGTTTACGATAGAGTTTTGGATCTGACCTTGCTGCACAGATGTCTGTGTATTGGAACTAAAAATGAACACATGGTTTTTGTGCCTGTAGCACACGAACAGACACACTGGCTTATGACGTGTTGGAAATGGCACAGGCTGCCTATCTTGGCGCTGAGTGCATTAGCAGGGGCAGAGGTGTATTGGAACTACACAATCTAGTATTTGGACATCTTAGTTTAGAAGGCATTTTAGGAAAGGATACTTGTAAGTTTTAGGGATAAAGGGATTAATGGACAGGAGTGGTAGACATGATTCATTGTTTGATTTTAGGTTCCTAGGAATTTGAAAAGTGGCCAATGATTACATCTTTGTGCTATTGTCCTGTTTAGTCTAGCGCTTCTAATTCCTTTTATCTCATTAATCTGTTGCAATGCAGATTATAGTTTGCAGAATGGAAATGGACAGGGACGTTCTCTTACCTACAACTCAGGCAATGGCTTACCTGACTCAAGGACAGCGAGCCCACCAAAAGACTTACCTAAAGCCGTCTGTCCGGTTGCTTGAGTCATGACCTACCAAATCCTTCTCCAGTGAGTCTGTTCTAAGATGCAAGCAGCCCCCTGGCAGAGTTAAAAGTACTTTAATTTTGTACCCCAGTGTTTTTCAAGGTGAGGTGGGAAGGCATGAATAACCCACCCGTGAGTGTAGTATGGAGGGTTACTTTGAAATGTGTATTTGGGCTGGGGATGTAGCTCAATCAGTAGAGTGCTTGTTTAGTATGTTGAAAGCTCTGGACTGGATTCCTCGCAGCACTACAAAATATGTTTATTTTGGAGGCCTAGGGTGTATGGATGTAGCTTAGTTGGTAGAGTACTTGCCTTTAATGAATGAAGCGCTGAGTTCAGTCCCCAGCACTGCATAAACCGGGCATGTTGTACTTCATAGACAGCGTATGGTGGCACATGCTTGTAGCCTTAGCATTGAGGAGAGACAGGCAGAAGGGTCAGGAGTTCAGGGTCATCCTCATTTACATATCAGATTCAGAGCCAACATGAGAACCCTGTCTCAAAAAGAAAAATTCATCTGTTATTCTTGTTGCTTTCCAAAACTATCTTAACCATCTTAGAAATGGGCTTTTATTATCCCAGATATTTTCTATATATAAAAGGAGATCTAAAAGATATATGGACTAAAGTAATAAATACATATCCAGGTACTCATTAATCTTAGCAGACAGGTATAGTATTATCCGTACTTTATAGACTCAAGGGTTGCTCTCCCCGTTATGCACCCCTCCAGGCCCCCAGGTAACTGCCATCCTTAGTTTTGTATGAAGTCATTTCCTTGCTTTGTTTTTTCAGTCATCTAGATTAGCCTTTTCATTAGATTGCCATCAGAATGCTCACAGGGTCCTTGAGATAGAAAATGGGTTTTTAGTTAGGCAGCATCCTCCCAAAGAAAGAAGGAAGCACACATATTTATTATTAGCCTCTCAGCCTCTTAGACCTTTTACCTTTTAGCTTCAAGCCATGAAGCACCCTTCTTTGCCAGCAAAAACCATCTAGCACTCTGAGATGGCTCTGCCTGGGTTTAAATTCAGATGTTTTTCTTTTTCTAGATCCTAGAAACTATGATTTTTTCTTCTTCAAAATGTCGGGGGTGGGGGAGAAGATGAGCTGGAGTGAGAAGGCCTCCACAAGACGTGTGCGTTTGGGTACTGCCGTTCTTCAGAGCTTGGCACTAAAGAGACTCGTCCCCAGCATGGGCAGATGGCACAGTGATGCAGTTTCCTTTGAAAAGAGGCAAACTGCCAACTGGCTGAGGTGTGAACCTTTTGAAAGGCCAGTGCTTTGGGTGTCTACTTGCTGAGTTTAATGTTATACCCACAAGTTATCAAATAAGAGTCAGCTCGGAAGCCCCTCTGCTGCTTTAAGTTCATGTCCAGTGGAATTAACTTTCCATTCTCGTCCTTTGGGTTGCTGGCACTAAGCTGTAGTCATGAGCAACTTTTATAAACGGAAACCATGTGTGCTTGTAGCTTGTTTTTATGTGGCCGTGTCCCTGTGTGGGCTGTGGATGTTTCAAGTGTGGATTATTAGACCTCTGAGAAGGAAGCTGCCTGTATTTCATCTCTTTCTTTGAGACAGGGTCTATGTAGCCCTGGCTGGCCCTGGGACTCACTGTATAGACCAGGCTAGCTTGAACTCAGAGACCTATCTCTGCTTCCCAAGTGCTGGAACTAAAGGTGTGTTAAAGGTTTTGTGCCTTTCTTGTTGTTGTTGCTGTTCGAAAGCTATGGTCTTGTTTTATAGCCCAAACTAACCCTTGAACTTGTGACAGTCCTCCTGTTTCTGCTTCCCAAGTGCTAGGACTGTTAAGTATGTAGCACCATACCCAGTTCTGAGCTCTTTCTACATAATTAAAATGAATAAAAATCTAAAAAAAAAAATCTAAAATCTAAAAAGTTGAAACCAAAATGCGAAGCTGGGCATACTGGCATGCACCTGTAGACCCAGCACTTGAGAGAGAGGCAGAGGAATCATGGGTTCAAGCCCATCCCCACCTACTAAGTGCGTTAGAGTCTAGTCTGGGCTACATGAGATTGTGTTTCAAACAAAAAAAAAAAAAAGAAGCATAAACATGCTTTTCATTTTTGTTTTTGTTTTGAGGCTGGAGAGATGGCTCGAGGGTTAAGAGCACTTACTGCTCTTCCAGAGGACCAGACTCAGTTCCCAGCATCTAAAGTAGCTCATAGAGCCTAAGGCTGCAGTTCAGGGGTCCCATATCCTTTTCTGGCCTCAATGGCCACCCATATACATGTGGTAGACAGACACACATGTATATAAATAAAATCAAATACACATTTAAAAAAACATGCTTTTGTTTTGGGGGATGGTACTGGGGCTGAATTTGGGGCATTGTACATGATAGGCAGGTGCTTTACTAACTAGGCTACACCTTGGCCCTGAAAACAATGTCTGTTTTTCTTTCTTTTTTGACTGTCCTGGAACTCACTCTGTAGTCCAGGCTGGCCTTAAACTCACAGAGATCCACCTGCCTCTGCCTCCTGAGTACTGAGATTAAAGGAATATACCACTACTACCCTTAAAAACAAATAATTTTGAATAGGACTTCATTTTCTTTCCTTTTGTAATAAAGGGTTTGCCTCATGTCTCAGGACATGTGGAATGCAGAGTTCAGTGACTTAAACACTTGTGTGGTGTTCCTTTCTCCCTTATTTTCTGTGTGCTTTCTCACTCTGCTGGTGCGGTGGAGAGTTAAAGAGTTTTCTTTCCATCTCATCCTTTGTATCACAATATGTCTAGGGGGTGAGCCAGCCATGACACCTGCAGTCAGTCAGTGTGAAGCTATAAGTGTGATGTCTAGTGTCAGTCAATTCCGGCATGGGATTTTAGACTTTATCAGAACTTACCCTCACCTTTCATAAGCCCGTAGCCTATTTGTATCACCTCAGTAAAATCTTCGTCATCTTGAAGTGAATGACAAAATGTTTTAAGGCTAACACATTTGTGCCTGGAAAGTCTGGGTTGGCATCTCTTGTTCTTCATTGTTTGCTGAAAAGCTACTTGAAGGAGGTATAGTTGGTACCTTGGTGTGTAATCGAAGATGGTTGCTGGGGAGCGTCGAGGCAGAGCTGTGTGACTCGGGGGAGGGTGTACTTGGGTACAGGCAGAAGAAGGCCCTGTTAGCCATGGCCTAGGTTCATATCCCAGGGCCATGGGCAGAGAGGGATTCACCGATGAAGACGGCAGTGTGTCTTAGTGCGCTGCGCAGGCCAGGATGTGCTCCCTGGCTCCCTGACTCCATTGGAACCTTTCTCTTAGAGTCAGGCCCAGAGGGGTAGCTGTTACTCCAAGCTGGCAACTACTCAGGCCTAAAGCCTTTTGCTTGGCTTTCATGCGAAAATCAGCTCTGCATTCAGCGTCCTTCCTTGTGAAATAGACTTAGTAATTACCACTCAAGGTGCTTGGTCTTAATGTGCTGGGCGTGAAGGATCCAAAGGGATTGCTATTGCTTTTTAGGCTGGTGAAGCCAAATCTATTTAAGGAATTGCTTTAATTTATTTCATTCTCCTTTAAATTTTAGGCTTTATTACGGAAGTGTTGCCAACATATCTGTAATAAAGGGTTTGCTTTGTATTTCAGGACATCTGGAATCCAGTGTTAGTGATTTAAGTGCATATGTGTTCATTTTCCCCCTTTATTCTCTGTGTACTTTCTTACTTCCTAGGAAACCCAGGTTGACAAGAACTCAAAGTGCCTTTTCTCCGGTCTCCTTCAGCCCCTTGTTCACAGGTAAGGATCATGTCTTTCTCTTTTTCTGATAACTGAGTGTTCTGAGACTGTCAGGGAACATGCCTGCACATGCCTTGCTGGGGGAGCTCCAGGCACCTTCCAGGCCGTCTGCAGTAATTCCTTCATTCTGTGCCCCCTGGGTTTGGGGTGAGGCTGTTTTTATGGCATATGGAGTGTGCCCTTGATTTCAGATGCTTGAAGGTAAAGATGCTTGCTTCTTGGTAATTGGGTAGCCATAGCAGTTACGAAGTTCAGGGTCATTACATGCAAATTAAAGGCAAGAATTACAAAGATACAGGCTTGCAATGCATACAAGACTTTCTTGAAGTCATAATTCCTGTCCCAGCTTCAAAGGAAGTTCATAGATTATCTAATAAAAAATGACCCATGAGGGCTGGAGAGATGGCTCAGTGGTTAAGAGCACCGACTGTTCTTCCAGAGGTCCTGAGTTCAATTCCCAGCAACCACATGGTGGCTCACTACCATCTGTAATGAGATCTGGCTCCCTCTTCTGTACACATAATAAAAAATAAAAAAAAATCTTAAAAAAAAAAAATGACCCATGAGTGTCTGGTCTAGTGTAAAGACCAGGGCAAAGGGGATTGTGTGAGCTTCTGTCGCCTACCATTTTAGGGGTTAGCAGTTCATGCAGCTGTTAGTGTTCTTCAGTGTGTCTAATTTAAGTGTGTCCTTGCAGCAGGGAACACAGTTGCTAAAGAAGGAGACTGTAGAATGTCCTTTTGGTAATGGTCACTGCCATGCCATCTGATATTATGGGGAACTTTTGAGAGAGAGAGAGACCTTCTGTTCTGTCAGTCATATAAAGCTCCAGGTTGAGTAAAAGCTGTAAAAAGGTCTTTTTCATATTGTCTCAAATCCTGAGAAGCCAGCTGCCCTACTTGGTTGTGACTGAGAAGCCCTTTAAAAAATAGTCTTTGGTTGGATGTTGTAAACCTTCCTACTCCTGTAATTCCACCACATGGGAGGCAGAGGAAGGATTGCCAAGTTCAAGGCCAGTGTGATCTATGCCGTGAGTTCAGGCCAATCAGGGCTACACAGTGAGCCCCTACCTCAAGAAATAATAATTAGATTTAAAATGCTAATCCTTTTTTTTTTTTTTTTTTTTTTTTTTGGTTCTTTGAGACAGGGTTTCTCTGTGTAGCCCTGGCTGTCCTAGAACTCACTCTGTAGACCAGGCTGGCCTAGAACTAGGAGATCCACCTGCCTCTGCCTCCCGAGTGTTGGGATTAAAGCTGTGTAGATTTTTATTTCTAAAATGTTTATTTTATGTGTATGGGTATTTTGTATATATGTATATCTGTGTACCACTTACGTGCCTGGTGTCTTGGAGGCTATAAGAGGGCATCAGAAATGTTGAACTTGAGTTACAGACAGGCGTGTACTGCTAGTTGTTCAAGTGCTGAGAATCAAATCTTGGTCCTGGAAGAGTAGTCAGTGCTCTTCACCCCCAAGCCATCTCTCTGGCCCTGGAATGATAGGATTTAAAAAGAAAATGTTTAGATTTTATTCCTTTTTATTTACATTTTATTTATTGATTTTGTGCCATATCACGAATGTAGAAGTCAGAACAATTATCAAGAGTCAGTTCTTGCTGGGGCAGTGGTAGTGGCACACGCCTTTAATCCCAGCATTGGGGAGGCAGAGGCAGGCGGTCTCTGTGAGTTTGAGGACAGACTGATCTACAGAGAGAAACCCTGTCTCGGGGAAAAAGGAGTCGGTTCTTTTCTTCCACCACACAGGGCTTGGGGGTTGAGGTCAGATTATCAGGTTTGTTAGCAAGTCCCTTTACCTACTGAGCCATTATATCATCCCTGTTTTTCTTATTTTATGTATATAAGTTGTTTGGTCTACATGTATGTGTGTCCTGTGTGTGGGCTTGGTGCTTGTGGAAGCCAGAAGAGGGTGCTGAATCCACTGATATTGGAGTTAAGGATGGTTATGAGCCACCATGTGAGTGTGGAGAAGCAAATCTGGGTCCATGGTGAGAGCAGCCAGCCTCTTAACCTCTGAGCCAGCACACTAACCTGAGAACAACTGGACTCTAAGCCGACTGGTGCTGGGGTAATTCCAGCCTGGAGAGCATCAGACGCAAAGCTTTGGGACCCTTGGCCCTCAGCCCTCTGGCCTCCTTTGCTTGCCCTTTGTTTCTCTCTCCTTTTGGTCTCAGCTTTGGACACAGGGCTTCTGTAACATGCTTGTGTGACTCCCTCAGGTGAGACAGTGTCGCTTGTGGATGTGGACATTTCTCAGCGGGGCCTGACCTCTCCACACCCTCCAACTCCCCCTCCTCCTCCAAGAAGAAGCCTCAGCCTCCTAGGTATAGTCTGACCTGCCCTTTTGCCGTCCTGCCCTAGAGGGAGGGTGAGCTCTAGGGACTTGTTCTTTTGTCAGGAGCCAGATTAGTTTCTGGGTTTCTATTGATGACCCAATTATTTCCCATCCCTTTCTCCACCTCTGTCATATCTGTAGGCACGCAAATGGGGGGCACTTTATCTGCATGCAGCAGTATTTACTGTCCACGTGTTGACAGTTCACATCCCCCTTGTCCTCAGTGTGCTGCTGCTGAGCTGTTTTAGGAGTAATCACTTTCCCAGTTTCTGAGCAAAGCAAAGCTGGCTGGGATGACTTGCCCTCGGTTCATAAAGATGACCAGAGAAGGCCAGGCTATTGCCCCAGACGGCAGCCTGACCCCCTCTCCTCTCTGCCTTCCCGTGCTGTTGTGTGCTCTTTGCTGAAGCTCTTGCTTTTGTTCTCTCTTCTAGATGATATCAGTGGGACGCTGCCTACATCTGTCCTTGTGGCTCCGATGGGGTCTTCCTTGCAGTCTTTCCCCCTACCTCCGCCTCCTCCACCCCACGCCCCAGGTTAGCTTAGCTGAGAGGCAAGACTTATAAGAGTGGAAGGATGGGATAAGTCTGTTTATGGAAATTACAGTTTAGGAGATCTTTATCCCCCTAGCTAGACTAGAACTTGAAAATGAGTCCAAAAAATACTTTTTTTCTAACCTAACTTATTTCTGGAAGTAAATCTTATTTTTCTTAGAAATAAAAGACTGGGATGTTTGGTCTCTGCTTCTGGGGCTGTTGTGCAGTCTCTGAATAGATATCACTTAAGAAACTGCCTTAATGTCAGTTCAGTGAAGAGGTTGACTGTGTTGCTGGTTATCAGAGTTCTGTATTTTTTTTTCTAAGCTTTTTGGTATTTACCGCAGCCTTGTAAATAAGTACCAAGCATTTAGTCGCCCATACCTGCTTTGCCAGCCTCCAGTACCCAAGGAATAAAATGAATGAAATCAGCATTCTTTTCTACTTGCCTGGCAAAATCATTACTGTCCCTGGGCAAGTAAGCGAGTCGCTATTTCCAAGGCTGCTTTACCGTAGGCACTTCACTTCGAGGTGGGAGAAGTTGGAATCGCTCTAGGCTGGTGAAGCCCCTGAAGTAGTCACCTTAGTCAGGTTAGTGAGTGGCTCCCGACTGCTTTCCTGGGGTTGAATGCCCCCCCATCCTTCACAGCTTCCACGAGCCCACACAGCTTTTTGTTCCAGCCCATCCAGCTCTTCCCACCGCTTTGGCTTCCACCCTCCCCAGCTTAGCGTCTAATGCCTTGTCCTTCTTCAGTTAGCATCTCTCTCTCTCTCTCTCTCTTTTTTTTTTTTGTGGGGAGGGGAGGTCTGCCTGTGAGTAGGAGCAGTGTAGATAAAACAAGTGGTCTCCATTGTCTTGGCTGCAGATGCATTTCCCCGGATTGCTCCCAGCAGAGCATCAGAACCCCTGCACAGCCAGCCCTCTCAGCACCTCCAGTGTCCCCTCTACCGGCCCGACTCAAGCAGCTTTGCAGCCAGCCTTCGAGAGCTGGAGAAGGTAGGTGATGTGATGCCTGAGGCCTGGCAGCTCACCTTTCCTCCCACACCTGAGCTCTATGCCTAGGCTGTCCTTCGGTTTTTAGAGGAAGAGGAGTTTTATGCTTCTAGTCACAGTGGCTAGACTGTAGGCTCTTGTTCACTCCATGGGAAAGGTAAGAAAACCGAATTTGGAGGGAAAAAGTTAGACCCAGTGAAGGAGGACTGTAGAGATGTATTTGGAATAGTCTAAGATGGTTTTGCGAGGTAAACTGACCCAGTTCCTTCTTGTCCTTGTTGGACCATTGGTAATAAAATGTAGAATTAGTCTTCCGGTGCCGGGAGGACTAAAGCGTAAGCAGCCTGGTTTTTACTGCTATGCTTGGCACAAGTGTTATAATGGCTTCTCCCTTCTCAGATAATCTCCCCTGGTAAGAGAGATTGTGCCCAAGTTGTTGGCATTTCTCTGTTAACTCCTTTACTGTTTCCTGTCTTTTATAGTGTGGCTGGTATTGGGGTCCTATGAATTGGGAAGATGCAGAGATGAAGCTGAAAGGGAAGCCAGATGGTTCTTTCCTGGTACGAGACAGCTCTGACCCCCGTTACATCCTGAGCCTCAGCTTTCGCTCACAGGGTATCACCCATCACACTAGGATGGAGCACTATAGAGGTGAGAGGTGCTGCTACTGGAGAAGGGAGGCCTTCCTCCAGCTTGCCTTTTCCTACCTTGCTGAGTTAGTCCCCTCACCACCTTTCTAAGTTTTATTCATTTCATTATTTTTGTTTTATGTGTGGGCCTGAGCATATGTGTATGACCACCTAAAGAGGGTATTAGGTCTCCTGGAGCTGGAATTATCAACAGTTATGAGTGGCCTGATATGAGTGCTAGGCACCAAACCCTGCAAAAAGCAGTGAGTGCTCTTAACCTAAACTCTCCAGCCTGGGTGTGTTTGTGTGTGTGTGTGAGAGAGAGAGAGAGAGAGAGAGAGAGAGACAGACAGACAGAGACAGACAGACAGACAGAGAGCTACAGGGTACCTGAGAGAGAGGTTAGAGGACAACTTAAACGTCTTACATGTTGGTCTGTACCTTTCCTCTTAAGACAGGCTTTCCTCTTCACTAGTGCAACATACATCAGTGTAGTTGGCCTAAGCTTCTGGGAACTTGCTTGTCCCTGCCTAGGAGTGTTGGAAACATGGACTTGTGATACCACATCAGCTTTACATGGACTCTGTGGATTAAAACTCAGGTCCTCATGCTTGTGTGGCAAGTGGTTTAGCCACTGAGCATTTTCCTAGGCCTGTTTGTTTGAGATAGGATCTCATGTAGCCTAGACTTGCCTTGAACTCACCATATAACCAAGACTGGATTTGAACTCCAGATCCTTGCCCCTGCTTCCTAAGTGCTAAGATTGTAGGCAGATAGCACAACATTCAGTTTCAAATATCTGTCAGCTCTAAAAATTGTTGAAGGTGTACTACATCCTGCAGTCTCTTTTAGCCAAGATTTAATTCTTTTTTATTTATTTATTTTTTTTTTTTTAAAGACAATCTGTCTACATAACCCTGGCTGTCCTGGAACTCACTATGTAGACAGGCTGGCCTAGAATTCAGAGATCTGCCTACTTCTGCCTCCTGAGTGCTGGGATTAAAGGTGTGTGCCATCATGATCAGCACAAGATTTAATTCTTTATATAAAAATAGTAGCCTGGTAGTGATGGTGCACACCTTTAATTGTAGCACTCGGGAGGCAGAGGCAGATAGATCTCTGAGTTCCAGGCTAGCCTGGTCTACAGAGTGAGTTCCAGGACAGCCAGGACTTATACAGAGAAATCCTGTCTTGAAAAGTGAAAATCTTTGTGATTTTCAAAAAATGTTTTATCTTTATACTTGTTTTAAATACCTAGACACCTGAGTTGCATGTAAAATTTCTTAGAGGGGGGGAAAAAGAGCATTTGTAGAAAAAGTTTAAGAAGCCATGAATTGGCTAGACAGTGGTAGTACACCTCTTTATTCCTAGCACTTGGGAGGCAGAGGCAGGCGAATCTCAGTGAGTTCAAGGCCAGCCAGGTCTTCAGAGCGAGATCCAGGACAGCCAAGGCTACACAGAGAAACCCTGTCTCAGGGAAAAAAATAAAAAGCCATGAATTGCCAGGAGGTGGTAGCATATGGCTTTAATCCCAGCACTCAGAAGGCAGAGATGGGCGGATCTCTGTGAGATCTAGGCCAACCTGGTCTACAGAGTGAGTTCCAGAACAGCTTGGGCTACACAGAGAAACTCTGCTTTGAAGCCCCACCCCAACCCCCCAAAAGAATAAACCATAAATTAGATTAGGAGGGGCGGCTCAGTGGTTAGGAGCATGTGCTGCTCTTGCAGAGGACCAGAGTTCAGTTCCCAGCATGCATGTCAGGTGGCCCACAACTGTTCATAAACTCCAGTTCTAGGGGATCTGATACCTCCTTTTGGCCTCCATGGATACTCTTACATACATGAAACACACACACACACACACACACACACACACACTAAAAATAGATCTTAAAAAAAAGCCATGGATTAAATAAATGTTGTAAGAAGCCATTGCTACCTATTTTTCTGCTGTTCTAAAAAAGCAGAATGACAGATAAACCAAATATGAAATAAAGTATTTTAGAATGAGATACTTTGTTAAAACTATTGGACTGATAATTGTCTAGACTCTGGGAATGGTAGATGAATACTTTAGGTTCATGAGAGGTGAGGAAGTGAGAGCTCTCTTAAGTACTACTCCAGTGACTTCTTGGTTAAAGGTCCTTTCTTCTTACATGGTGGGGTTGTTAGAAAGAAGCTTTGTTTCTGGTGACTGTTGGCAGTGGGACATGCCCTCATCATTTTTAGTGATACCACAAGAGTAACTCCAAAGACTCCGCTCTGCAGTTCCCTGAAATGACTCATTATCATGAATGTGGTCTTTTTGTATTAAGTCATAGGAGTTCAGGTTCTCCTTTAACTTTGGGGCTCTGGAGTTGGAGGAGGTAGGCTGTCAGTGTTCTGGGCATGGGTTTTAGAAGAAGCTCAAGAAGGAAAGACTGATTTTGCTTTTTTTTGGTTTTACAAGACAGGGTTTCTCCGTGTAGTTTTGGTGCCTGTCCTGGATCTCGCTCTGTAGACCAGGCTGGCCTCGAAATCACAGAGATCCACCTGGCTCTGCCTCCCAAGTGCTGGGGTTAAAGGCATGTGCCACCACCATCCGGCTAAAAATTATTTTTAAAAAATTTAAGAATTTAATTATTAGGCCGGGTGGTAGTGGCATGCACCTTTAATCCCAGCACTTGGAAAGTCAGAAGCAGGTGGATCTCTGTGAGTTCCAGGACAGCCCGGGCTAAAAAGAGAAACCCTATCTCGAAATACCAATAAAAAAGAAGAAGAATTTAATGATTAAAAAATTAAAATGTTCACACCAGCCTCTCAGATCATTTGAGGTTCTTTGTTTGTTTGTTTTAATTTTTAGAGTTTTGCTATATAGCCCAGTCTGGCTTTAACTCACAACTTCCTACCTTAGACCCCTGAGTGCTGGGATGATGACAATGTCTTACCCCACCCCACCAAAACCGTTTGTAAATTTATTCTTTAATTTTCCATTTTAGGAACCTTCAGCTTATGGTGCCATCCCAAGTTTGAGGATCGCTGTCAGTCTGTGGTAGAGTTCATTAAGAGAGCCATCATGCACTCCAAGAATGGGAAATTTCTCTATTTCTTGAGATCCAGGGTTCCAGGTAAAGCTGTAGTTATAGTAATTATTATTGTTGTTGCTTTTTTGAGACAGGGACTTACTGTGTATTTCAGGCTGGTCTTGAACATTCTATGTAGCCCAACCTGGTCTTAAACATATGGTCCTCTTGCCTCAGCCTCCTGCTAGCTATATTAACTATTAAACCTAACTTGGCTATGATCTAGTATTCTACTGGAATGTCCCAGCCCCAAACAAAAGCCACAGCTGAAACTGTTTGACCTGGCTATTGTAGGAGCCCCTTTTCCTGGGAGTCCACTGAATAATCCCGGTCCTTGTGTGTTAATCTCACAATGTTCTGAAGAATGATTTCTACCTCTCTGACCACGTGAAGAAGAAAACCCAGGCATCTTGTACCATTTGACATTGAGATGGCTCCTTGCTGCTGTTACAGGTGTCTTGCCTCTTACTTGTGAAACACAAAGTGAGAACTCTGGTGTCACTTCCTCAGGGACAGGGACGTGAGAGTGCATTCACAGAAAGGCAGTGAGGGGCCGGGCATCGGGGGTGCACACCTTTGATCCCCGCACTCGGGAGGCAGAGGCAGGAGGAGCTCTGTGAGTTTGAGGCCAGCCTGGTCTACAGAGCGAGATCCAGGACAGGCACCAAAACTACACAGAGAAACCCTGTCTCAAAACAAAACAGAGAGAGAGAGAGAGAGAGAGAGAGACAGAGAGAGACAGAGAGAGACAGAAAGAAAGGGAAAGGCAGGCAGGCAGGCAGTGAGTGGTGAGTGAGTCCAGGAGGTCGGGCTCCGTGGTTTATGAGGAGAATGGGCTATAGGTTTGTCCATACTGTACTAACTGAGGAAGAGAAGGGGTGGTGGTGGTTGTTGGGAGCACTGTCCTGTTCTTGGCTTCACCGGTGTGGTCACATAGTCAGCCAGCTCACTCAAGAATGTACCTGCCTAGTCTCTATCAGAGGAGGCAGAGGAAATTGGTTTGTAGCATTGGGTAAAGAAAATTAACAGGCACATGAATGTGAGGAGTTTGCAGGATACAAGCAGAACTTAAAGTGAGAGCTTCTTGCTTTCACTTTGAATCAAATTAACTTCCTGAGCAGGGTGCCAAGAAATTGCTCTGAAATGTAGGAGTTGCTGAGGAGCCTTGGGCAGAACATCAGGAACAGGACTGGGCCAGGTGACAGTGATGTTTGTATAATGGTGGTGATTTAAATAAGGCACGACAGGGTGTGAACTGTATTAATTCTCACTTCCTCTGGTATTTGGTGCTGAGCTGCCAACACCGTGGGGGCGCATGCATTTCTTTTAGTGAAGGAAAGTGCTAGAGTTCTTGAGGATTGACTCTGCTTAGCAGTTTTTAACATTTGTGGAATGATGGATATTTATTTAACAAACACTTATTTGTAACTCAGTATAAAAAGTAAGCCCGCCACTGCCCTCAGGCAGCTCCTAGCTGTAAGGAAGGGAGAAGACCCGCCAGCCTAGGAGTGAGTGAGTTCAGGGACGAGTAAGGAGCGCTGCTTGTGTGACGTGGGTGGGCAGCAGACGTCCATTGCTCGCTCTGCAGTGTCTGCCTGCGGACTGTTGAGAGACTTGGTGGACTCCTGGCTCCGCCAGAACAGCCCTTCTTATCCCACAGATGTGCTTCATCTTCAGAACACATTGTACATGAGCTAGAGTTTGTAGTATTGGCTACTGTTTATTGAGTGCCTGTTATACACTAAGTGGTAGGTCAGGTTTCTAGTTTACATATTTCTTAATGCTTTTAACCACCTCAAAGTTAGCTAATTGATTAGTCCATTACAATTTTAGATAATGGAACTGGGCATTTAACTCAGTTGGTGGATTGCTTGTCTAACATGCATGAAGCCCCAGTCTCAGCACAGCATAAACTAAGTGTAGTGGGCAAACTTGTAATCTTAGCACTCAGGATGTGAACTGAACCCAGGGTCGTGGGCGAGCTGGGCAGACTCTGTGGTGGAATCACATTCTCAGTTGTCTGTCTGTCTATGTCTCTCTGTCTCTCTCTGTCTCTCTCTCTCTCTGTTTGCTTTGGGAGGTATGTCTCATGTATCCCAGGCTGGCTTCAAGCACACTATCTAGCTGAAGATGAACTTGTGATCTCAGCACTCAATGTGTAGCCCAGACTAGTCCTGAACTTGTGACAATCCCCTTGCCTTAGCCTCCTAAGTACTGGAATTATAGCTGAATGCTGCCATACCCTGCTGGGACAAGATTTTTAAATATAACAAGTTCAGCACCATAGAATGAGACTCTGCCTCAAAAATATTTTTAAATAAAATACTGTTCTGTCTGGGATTTACCTATTGTAACTCCATGGTTACAGTATGGCTCTGTGGATTTCCTGTAAAATCATTATTGGATCCAAAGACTCGACTGACCCAGTGGGGATGTTTGGTGGAGGGGTACCCACACCACTTTCCTAGGTGTAAGGAGGACACCCCACAGGCAGAGCTTGAGCACTGTCAGCGCTGCACAGTTTTCCCCACGACCCGACCAACTGACCGACACCTCTCTTTAGTGTCAGTTAGGCCTTTCCTTTTGGTTTTCTTCCCACCCCACCCCACTGCCCCCTAGGCAGTGTCCTGTAGCCCTTACTGACCTCAGACTGACTATATAGCTGAGGCAGACCTTGAACTCTGATTCTCCTGCCTCAGTTAAAATAATCAGGATTATCCTGCACAGGCATGCTCAAGGCCCATCCATCTCCAGGGTGTTAAAATGACAATGCTAACTGTGCCCATGGCCATGGTATAATACAATATAATGCTTGGTTTCAAGCACCTTTACTCACTGAGCTACCCTGCTGACCCATCAACACTTTTTTTTAAGTCCATAATCTTTAACTATGAGCTCCTATAGAATCAAAGAAGCTACTTACTTCAACTTTCAAGGGCCTATGAGCTTAAATGAACGTGGGTCTTCACAAGATGGGCCTCCAAGGGGTAAGATGTTCCCTCAGGATCCCTTTCCTATTGTGCAAGTACAGATAGGATATCTCTGCAATGGTGCTGATTTCTTTAACAATCACAGCTGCTTTCTCAGCACTGGCCTGAATGCTGTCTTGTTTTGAAATGGCCTATGCCAAACAAATTAGTCCATTAGCTTTCAACTTTTCTCAGGTTCTCAGGACATAAGCAGAATGAAAGCACATTCTTGGCTAAAACAGTACATTAATGGCCTCTAGCCCAGTTCCTGATCGAGTCCTTACTCCCCTCTGAAACCTCATGAGTGGGCCCCCACTGTCCAAGTTTCCTTGGTATTCTTGCCTTCCAAGTTCCCACGAGAATGGCCTGTTAAGCTCTGCTTCCAGCTTTTTAAATACACTGTTCCAAACTCTTCTATATTCTAGCCACAAAACAGGTTCAGTGGCTTAAAGACCATATAACCAGGTTTATATCAGCAATGACCCCACTCCTGGTACCAATTTCTACCTTAGTTTCTTCTCTTACTATAGTAAAATATTCCAAAGCAATCTAAGGGAAGCCAGAGATAGGATTTAGTGGTTAAAAGCACTTACTGCTTTAGCAGAGAACCTGGGTTACAGCTCCAGCATCCACATGGCAGTTAACAACTGTCTCTAGGGGCTGGAGAGTTGGCTCAGAGGTTGAGAGCACTGATTGATCTTCCAGAGGTCCTGAGTTCAATTCCCAGCACCCACATGGTGGCTCACAACCATCTGTAATGAGATCTGGTGCCCTGTTCTGGCCTGCAGTCATATATGCTGTATACATAATAAATAAATAAATAAATCTTTAAAAATAAAACAACTGTCTCTAATTCCAGCTCCCTCTTCTGACTTCCTCTGGCCAGGCATGCATGTAGTGCACTTGCATGTAGGCAGAACACTCATACACATAAAATAAAAATGAATACATCTTTTAAAAAAAGAGCATACTGCTCTTGCAGAGAATCACACTTAGTTCCCAACACTCATATTAGGTGTCTCACAACTGCCTGTGTGGAACTCCAGCTCAGGGACATCCAGTACCCTTTTATGGGTTCCATGGGTGTGTGTACACTTGTGGTGCACATAAACTCAGGCAGGCACACGCGTACATGTACATAATAAATAAAAGTGAGTTCTAGGCAACCAGGGCTATATAGTGAGACTCTGTCTAAAAAAAAAAATTAAAACTACAATAAAAATAATATAAAAAGCAACTTAAAAGAAGTTTGTTTTTCTTTGAAAGATAAATTTATTCTTATGATATGTGTCTTAGTTAGGCACCATGACCGTGGCAACTCTTATAAGGAAAACATTTAATTGGCTAGCTTACAGTTCAGAGATTTCATCCATTATCATCATGGTGTTGTTGCTGGATCCTAATGGCTCCCTTGGGAGGGGGTGAGAAGGTGCAGTGTCAATGACACAGACACCACCAAACTCATTATTCAGTAACGGGGGAGGCCTTACATACCCTCCTCCCAGCACCCAAGCTGTGTCCTAATCTGGTGGCATTGTGTGGTCATCCCTCATTGGCTGGGCACGATCAGTAACTGACAGTGCCTGTTGCGAGGCCCTCAGGTAGACTTGGTATGATTTGAGCCAATTTCCTCGACCCTATGGGCCTGTCCTGCTACATGGTGGGACATGGCATTGTGCAGGCAAACACGGCGCTGGAGAGGTAGCTGAGAGTCCTTTATCTTTGGCAGGCAACAGGAAGTGATCTCAGACACTGGGCAGTATCTTGAGCATATATAAGACCTCAAAGCCCATCCATCCCCACAGTGACACTTCCTCCAATAAGGCCACACCTACTCCAACAAGCCACACCTGATGTGCCAGTCCCTGAGCTTTTGGGGGCCAGTTATATTCAAACTACCACAGGGAGCAAAGAGTTTATTTGACTTACCTATCCTGAGTCACAGTCCATTGAGGAAAACCAAGGCAGGAACTCAAACCAGGTGGGAACCTGGAGGCAGGAGCCAATGCAGAGGCCATGGGAGAGTGCTGCTTACTGGCTTGCTCCTTCTCATGGCTTGCTTAGCTTGTTTTCTTATAGAACCCAGGACCACCAGCCCAAGGGTGACACCACTCACAATGTGCCCCCCCCATTAGTCACTAATTGAGAAAATGTCCAATAGCCAAAGTAGTTTGCCTATACAGCCCAATCTTATGGAGGCCTTTTCTCAGTTGAGATTCTCTTCTCTGATATTACTCTAACTAGGGTTAAATGGACAGAAAACTAGCCAACACAATGTGTATGGGTGTTTTGCCTGCACGTATGTCTGTGTACCACATGTATGCCTGGTATTTAAGGATGCCAGAAGAAGATATCAGATCCCCTGAGTCTAGAGTTAGAGAAGGTTGTGAGCTGCCATGTGGGTGCTGAGAATCGAATCTGTGGAAGAGCAGCCAGTACTTGTAACTGCTGAGCCATCTCTCAAAAGAGAAAGGGTTTATTTTAGCTCACAGTTGAGTCCGGTAATATAGTCCATCATGATGGGAAAGTCAGGGTAGCAGAGGCTTGAAGCAGCTGGTTGCGTTTTCTCTGTAGCCAGGAATAGAGCAATAAACTCATGCTGCTACTCAGCTCCCTTTCTGTATTTACAGACTGTAACAAGATGACCCTCCCCAGGCATGGTCAGAGGTCCATTTCCTAGGGGACTAGATAGACCGAGTGACGATTAACACTGACAACAGCTGTACACTCAGGGCTTTGGCTTATTCATTTTTAAACGTCATTCATTCATTTTGGGGTGTTGGGCATCAAACTAAGGCCTTGCTCATGCTAAGCAGGTGCTCTACCACTGTGCTATACTGAGTACCCCCACTTGGTTCATTTTTCAACTGGATATATATTCTTGTTATTATTGAGTTTTAAGAGTTCTTTACATAGTATTTTTTTCTTTTTTTCCCTTTTTCTTTTTTGGTTTTCAAGACAGGGTTTCTCTGTGTAACAGTCCTTGCTGCTCTGGAACTCGCTCTGTAGACCAGGCTGGCCTCGAACTCACAGAGATCCGCCTACCTCTGCCTCCTGAGTGCTGGGATTAAAGGCGTGCGCCACCACCGCCCAGCTCTTTATCCATTCTCTGTATGAATCTCTTCCCATGTCTGCAGCTACAGTCTCTCATTCTGTGTTGTCTCTTTGAGTTCTTGTTTGTTTTTTTAATTTGGGGCAGGGTCTCTCTATGTAGGTCATGCTGGCCTTGGCCTTGAACTCAGAGACCAGTCTGCTCTACTTCCTGAGTGGGTGCATCGCCATGCCAGGACCACAGCTGTGATTTTTTCCTTTCTTGATGCTCGCCTTTGAAAGGCAGTTTCATGTGACACATTCCTCTGCTGACCTTGTATTGCCTCACTCACTGTGAAGTCATAAAAGCAGTGGGACCAGGCAGGTGGGAACTGGAGCTTCCAAAACCAGAAGCCAAAGAAATCTTTCCTCTTCTAAATTTTGACTTTTTTGTGTTACTGATCTCCCATTTATCTCCCCTCCCTCCCTCCTTCCCTCTCTCCCTCTCTGTCTCCCTCCTTCCCTTTCTCCTTGCCTGCTTGCTTCCCTGTACTTGAGAGGTAGATGTAGAAGGAGCCCAGCCTGGACTATATGAGCCCTCACCTCAGCAAAACAGAACAGAACAGAAACCCAAAAAAAGGGGCTGGAGTGATGGCTGGGCAGTTAAGAGTGTTGGCTGTTTTTAAAGGACCAGGGCTTCTCTTCCCAGTGCCTTACAAATGCCTGTAACTGCAGCTCCAGCTCCAGGGGCTCTGACACCTACATCTGGCCTCCTAGGAGTGGGGGCCATAGAGACACACAACACACACTAAAAAATAAAATTTAGCCAGGCGGTGGTGGCGCATGCCTTTAATCCCAGCACTCAGGAGGCAGAGCCAGGCGGATCTCTGAGTTCGAGGCCAGCCTGGTTTACAGAGCAAGATCCAGGACAGGCTCCAAAGCTACACAGAGAAACCCTGTCTTGAAAATTAATTAATTAATTAAAATTAAAATAAATTAGAAAAATAAAATTTAAGTTAAAAAAAAGCCAGCCACCTGGATGGGGGAGGAAGACTAAAGACCTTCAGAATAGGAGCCTTGGTCTGTCAGGGTGAGGTGTCTAGCAGAGGTTGGTCAAGCATAAATCAGCACTGGCTGTCTGAGATACCCTTTCCCAGAGGGCAGGTGCTCAGAGAAGCCACCTATGAACATTTCTCCCAAGGTTCCCTTTGCTGCGGCAGAGCCACACCATGATCTTTTCTTTAGGTGGAGCAGGTGCTGAAGACAGGCTGCCTTTAGTATTTTCTAACCAATTGTGTCTGCAATATTTCATTTTTTTTTAAGATTTTTTTTTTAATGTTTGAGTGCTCTATCTGCATGTACACCTTTATGCCAAAAGAGGGCATCAGATCCCACTGTAGATAGTTATGAGCTACCATGTGATTACTGGGAATTGAACCCAGGTCCTCTGGAAGAGCAGCCAGTGCTCTTAACCACTGAGCCATCTCTCCAGTCCTGTCTGCTGTATTTCTTTGAATAGGACTGTGGCTAAGAAAAGAATTCCTAGCTGGGTGTGGTGGCATATGCTTTTAATCCCAGCACTCTGGGATACAGAGTGGATTTCTGAGTTTGAGTCCAGCCTGGTCTACAGAGCGAGTTCCAGGACAGCCAGGGCTGCACAGAGAAACCCTGTCTTGAATAACCAGAAAACAGCATTCCTTCAGTAACTTTTCAGTCTTGTTTTCAGTTTGTTTCTCTTCCTCTCCATAGTCCCTTCATTTACAGAAACAGGACATTGTTCTTTCATCTGAACGTGTTTCAGTGCCCTGCCCTTCCTCCTTGGTGGGTCCTGTGGCATTGACTGTGGGAGTTGGGCGTCCCTAGCACAGAGCTTGCTGATCCATGTGGGGTGTCTGCTGTGGGGCCTGGCAGGCTCTTGAACTCAGCTTGCTCAAGCTGCTGTAGTTCTCTCAGAAATATCCTCATCTTTGTCCCTGTAACCCAGCCTCGTGCTTCAGGGGTGGGAAGGGAAGCAGTGAGGGCAGGAAGGTGCCGAGCTGCCTGGCCTGGAAGACGGTGCAGGAGTGGTGCCTTTGACCCCAGCCCCACCCTCTACCTGCCCTCCTTTCTGCGTCCAGTTGGGGTCTTGGGGGCCTTCCAGAGCCTAAATGCTCCACACCAACGCTGCTACAGAGAGGGCTGATAGTGAGGCTTTCTGTCCCCAGCCAGCTCCCAAGAGTGACACAGGGACTTAGGAAGTCTGAAAGCTCGGGCTTAGCTTAGCTTCTCCCACTAGCCTTATAGCTTAACCCACATTTTGACATCTACAGTCTACCACGTGGCTTTTACTTCTATCCCATTCTGTATGTCTAACTCCCAATCTCCATGGCCTCTCTGCCTCTCTTCTTCCCAGAGTTCTCTCTGCCTGGAAGTCCCACGTAGACCTCCTGCCTAGCTACTGGCCATTTAGCTCTTTATTAAACCAATCCAGAAGGCATCTTGACAAAGACACATTTTCACTATGTACAAAAAGATTATTCTGCAACAAGGACTAAACTTCACCGCACATCCTTTGTGATAATAAAGGCTATTCAAGCCATGGTACCTCTGAACGTCCTGAGCCCTGGTGTTCAGGATACTGCTAGATCATGCTGAAGAACCATCTCCCATTCCCAATAGCTCCGGAGACTTGGGTTCTTGTCCTTTCCTGAGAACCTCAGGCCTGTGCATGGCCCCTTGGCCCCAAGGAGTCTTTAGCTTGGCCTTGTTTTTTGGGCTGTTCTCCACAATTAGGAGTGATTCTGGAAGCCAAGTGTGGTGGCTCACACCTATGGTCCCAATACTCAGGAGGCTGAGGCAGGAGGATTGCTCTAGGTTGAGGCTAGCCTGTCTATATAGTGAGTATCAATTTAGCCTGTGCTATGGAGTAAGACCCTGTCTGGGAAAAAAAAAACAAACCAAAACAAATGTCGCTGGGGAGGTTCGCAGAGGACACTAAATCCCCTTGAGTAGACTATGGTAGTAGTACTTCCCAGACGCTGTTCACAGCCCTTTAGGAGGGGCTTCTGCACAGCCTATATACATGAACTTTAAAACAGCCCCACGACAGCCCCGCATCTCTCTTCCTCTGGGAGCTGTAGTTAGCTGTGTTATTATCCTCTCTGAGGATTTTCCTTTGTTTTCATTCTTGAAGGACTGCCACCAACACCAGTACAGCTGCTCTACCCAGTGTCCAGATTCAGCAATGTCAAGTCCCTCCAGCATCTTTGCAGATTCCGGATCCGGCAGCTTGTCCGAATAGATCACATCCCAGATCTCCCACTGCCTAAGTACAATGGGGTCATCAGGGTTAGGGCAGGGTGGTGGGTTAGAAATGCCTTTGAAGCTTGCAAGTTGCTCCCAGAGGCCCAGCCCAGCATGAAAATATTTGTAGGCATGTTCTTTCATTTGTGTTTTAGCACTTAACTCTAGAGCTGTATCATTGCAGCAGAAAGGAAGGAAGATATGTATGTTGGCCTCACTCTGCAGGCCTTGGGCAGAGTGCAGTGCAGTAGGGTAAGGGAGACAAGTGTGTGAGGAGTGAGGTGAGAATTTGGTCAGGTTGGCAAAGGCTGTTCAGTAGTTGTAGCCGTATAAATGAATGGAGAAGGGAGGGTTCAGCAAGAGAGGTTTCTTAAAAGAAACAACCGTCAATTTCCTGAGAAGTGACCCCTATAAACAGTACACTCTGTGTCTCCTTGCTTTTCACAGACCTCTGATCTCTTACATTCGAAAGTTCTACTACTATGATCCTCAGGAAGAGGTGTACCTGTCTCTAAAGGAAGCGCAGCTCATTTCCAAACAGAAGCAAGAGGTGGAACCCTCCACGTAGCAGCGAGGGTCTCTGCTGTTCAACATAAAGGTAGGAACCCCTGCCTTGTACTTCCTGAGTATATTTCTGACCTACACTTCTGACCCATGCATTTGTCTGATAATTGGTTCTCTAATCGGTACATACTTCATTTGAAGAAAAACACAACAGGCATGAAGGCTTAAAGCAGTGGTTCTTAACCTTAATGCTTCGACCCTTTAATATAATTCCTCATGTTGTAGGGATCTCCAACCATACAATTATTTTCATTGTTACTTCACAACTGTAATTGTGTTACTGTTATGAATCATAATGTAAATATTCTCGGAGATGGAGGCTCAACAGTTAAAGCCACATACTGCTTTGCATAGGACCTGAGTTCAATTTCCAACACCCATGTCCAGCAGCTTACAACCTGCTATAATTCCACCTCCAGGGGCTTCAACACTCTTTTCTGGTGTCTGAAGGCACTGTACTCATGCACAAGCCCACACAGACACACACATATAATAAAAAAAGAAAAGAATAAGTGAGGAAATGGTTGAAGTCGGGGGCCAATTTCCCACTGCCCGCTGAGGTCTGCTCTCTTTCTTTGTGAGTTGTTTCAAATACTGGTTCGTGTTGGACATTCCTGTCTTTACTGGTAGCAGCAGTTGTAGTGTGTGCATGTGGAGGTCAAGGAGTTCTCTCCTTCCACCTTGACATGGTAAATTAAGCTTAAGTCACCAGGCTTTCCAGGCAAGTGCCTTAAACCACTGAGCCATCTTGCCAACCTTGTTTATTTCTAAACAGTCTCCTGTAGCTCTGGCTAACCTTGAATTCCTGGTTGTTCCGCCTGCATCTCCTCAAGTCCTGGGATTATAGGCCTACATCACCATACCTCTGTGCCAGTGGAGTTTAGTTAGTTAGTTAGTTAGTTAGTTAAAGATTTTATTTTTATTTTAGTCATGTGTGGGGAGAGGTGGTACACATATGAGCACAGGTGCACATATAGTCCAGAAGAGTCAGATCCCCTAGAACCATATTCATGCCCCATGCAAGACCTAAACTAATCTCTATAGTTTTCCTCTAACTAGGTTGGTTTTTTGTTTTTTTATTTATTTGTGTTTATTGCTAGGGTCTTACTATGTCACTATATACTACTATGTGTGGTCTAATTAGTTTTTTTTGTTTTTTGTTTTTTTGAGATGGGATCTCAGTATATAGCCTTGGCTGGTCTGGAATTCAAGTTGACTTCAAACTCACAGAGATTTGCCTACCTCTGCCTCCTGAGTTCTGGGATTAATGTCTGGGATGAAAAAGCTCTACCATCTTGGCTTATTTAATACTAAAGTGAACAGGTTGGCCTGAGTAGGAAGTAGAATTTATGGGAACTGTTGCTTTTGGCCATGCTGGCTACTGTACATACTCACCTTCCATCCAAGTGTCATCAGCCAGTTTGGTGTTAACCTGGAAGTTGTTTCTAAGCACTGACTACCTGTCCTTCTCATGTATTCCTCAGTCTTATCCCCTACTCAGAGTTCCAAGAGCAGCAGCCTTAAAGTGGGAGTTCTAGTTTCCTGGCCTCTCTGTGCTTTTCCAGAGGAGTATGACACCTCGAGTTACTGTCCCGTGTTTTCTTCCTTGAATTTTTAAAATTTTATGCATATGGCTGTTTTGCCTGTATATATATATCTATGCACCACATTCATGCCTAGTGGCCAGGGAGGCCAGAAGAAGGCATCAGATCCCCTAGAACTGGAGTTACAAATAGTTGTGAACTGCCATGTGGGTGCTCTGAGGAGTAGCCAGTGTTCTTAAAGGCCAAGCCAGTTCTTCAGCCCCACTATTGTGTTTTCTGCCGAGATAAACTTAGTGTGTGTCTCCTGGGCTCTGGAAGTCCTAGATCTGTGTTGTTATGGGAAAGCAGGAGAGCCATGCTAATGAGTATTATCAGGGGCAGAGGGAAAGACAGACAGACCAAGAGATGGTTGCTTCAGAATGCTGTGGAGCTCTGACTTAAAGGCTCTGGTCTGGATGTAAAACTGCTCAGATCTTGAGTTACATGCAGGTTGTGTGCATTGGAAGTGATTCCTAGCATATCCAAGTGCTTAAACATATACGAAGAGTTCTCTGTGTGGTGGCCTTAGGAGCTGGGTATGGTGACATGTCTGTATCCCGGCACACGGAAGATAAAAGCAGTAGAATCTGTTTCCTTTTTTTTTTTTTTTTTAAGGTTTGTTTAATTATGTTACTGTGTAGGAGTGTGTAGACATGAATGCAAGTACTTTGAAAGGCCAGAAGAGGGTGTCAGATTCCCTGACTCTGGAGTTACAGG